TCGGGCTGCCCCCCCCCCCCCCCCTACTCCAAGACGCACCTGGACAGGGGGAGCCACCCCCTGCTGAAGGGCGGAGCTCGGTGAACCGAGAGCACCCCCAGCAGGAACGCCCAAAAAACCTACTGGTTCAGAACCTGAGGAGGAGGTCTTAAAAAGCTTACTTCCCTTACCGGAAGAAGAGGACGAATCCCTCTTCCGGCGGAAAGTTAGCTGGAAAGGCATGGGAGCCTAAGCAGCAGACTCCATGTGCAAACAAAGTTCACATAGCGAGGTCTGGCTGCAAGGTCGGCAAATGGGACAGGTATCATGGGGTTCCCATTATCTATAGAAATAGGAACATCCATGCGCTGACCCCCGATGTAAACCCGGCACTATTATCCATCATCGAAACAATAAAAAATTGTAACAATGAAAACAAGGATAAAAACGTTTTCTAACAATCAAAAAACTACGAACGAGAGCATAAAGCCTACCGTACGCAGCAAGATTGTACTGCAAAAAAAAAAAAAAAAAAAAGAAAACGGTCGTACAAAACGGCCGACAAAACAGCAAGAAAACAATTTCAACTTCACGAAAATCCGAGTGACGAGACAAGTAGTCACGCACTCGAACACGCGGAGGAAAAACACGGCCGAAAACGAAGTTCTCGAACAATAAAAAAACTACGAACGAGAGCACAAAGCCTACCGTACGCAGCAAGATTGCACTGCATAAATAAAACGGTCGTACAACACGGTCGACAAAGCAGCAAGAAAACAAATTCCAACTTCACGCAAATCCGAGCAACGAGACAAGTAGTCACGCACTCGAATACGTGGAGGAAAAAACGGCTGGAAATACGGTCAAAATAAACAAATGACAATACTTAATTTCACAATATAAGTTGGGAGATGGGTTTATAGACTACTAATAGAGTAACAATATACTCAAACGACAATGGCAGTACGAAGAGAAGGAGTAAGAAAAGCACTTAGCTCAGACACCTCCGCACTCGTCGGCAGCCATAAAGGTAAGAGGAAGGGAGATCACTCTGCGTTCCTGCCGTGATGGCTCATGGATCGTAGGGAGGGCGGAATTGTTTTTCTTTTGAATCTGTTGTTGTTGGGATACAAAGATGGGTGTAGGTACTGTATTTGCATACTAAAGTTATGGTAATTATTACTGAAATGAAATTGGACTTTGAACAAACATGGTATTATATATGGATTCACAGATGAAATAATATTAGATTGGATATATTATTATCTTCAAGTATGATATATGTATAGTATTTATTGTCAGAAATATTAATGATGCATGGATACAAAACTTTCAATCCCTCTATCTCCTTCAAATCACCTTTTTTCAAAATGATCAGAAAATGATAATGTGAGAAACAAAAAATGGTTACACACTATAAAGCCTTAAGGCTAGGACATACCTGAAAGTTTTTATAAAATGTTCTGATTGTTGTAAGTGGTATATTCAGTGAATGATAGTATGGGGCCACTTATATCATTGGGTCAGTGTTAATGATGAAATTTGTCACTCAAATGTAGAACATAACTTGTGTTAATTCTTAAAGTGACCGGCTGGCTTATCAGACAGATAGTTTAATTGCGGTCACCTTAGTGTCAGAATCATGCCGTGAAACATTGGCTGGACTTGCTCTCTATCGGTGAGACATTAATTGCAGATCAGTAGAAGACACTTTCCATATCAGAATTAAATTATAATTACTTTAGGATAAACTGTAAGATCACAGCAAATAGAGTCATTCCTGGTGTGGCCGTGGAAGGAGTAACTTGTTAAGCTCGATACTCAGGCCATACATGTTATCACTGAACATTTTCGTCAGGTCGGAAAGTAAGGATTATATAAAGATTCTTTATACACAACCAGGAATTTTAATATGTGACGTTTCGGTGACCAGTACGATCCGTACGCTGTCACCTTCCTCAGACAAATGACCAGTAAAGCATGTACACCTTATATAATCCATACATGTTATCATTGTTGTAACTTGTAAAAATACTCATCATTTGTACTTGAGAACAGTAGTTGCTGGTCTTTTGTATAACATAAGGATAGTACAACATAGAGTGGTAACAGTCAGCATAAAACAGGACATATTCTGGTCAAAGTGATATCATCAGGTGAATCTAATCAGGAAATGTTATTAGACATCTGTTTACAGGAAGTGAATTTAACTGTCAACACAATATGTAGCTTCACTGATATCAGAAATATCTATTACCATATTTATCCTACTGTAAGCCCCGGGATACTGCCACATAGCCTCTGACTTAAAAGATAGGAAATTGGCTAAAATCCATAATCAATAATTGGTTAAAATCATATAATCTTTTCGATGTAATTAATTGATTGCATAATCAGCAGGCTGTGTATTAAATATTCATAGAAAATGAATGCATAAAAAAAATTATTGACAATTAGCATCTTTTTAATGCATAATATGAATTTTGTTTTTGTTTAAACACAACATTATGTATTTGGTACGAATGCTTGATTATTATTATCATTACAAACAATCGTCACATCAGATAAAGTAACACAATAAGATAATCATGTACATCACAATCAGCAACAGGCTTCACCATGTTTTAACTGTGTTAAGCTAATGTCTGGTAATCAGCCCCGTATCAACTTCTGTTCGGTAGAATGCTTTTAAATTGTCCTGACTTTGATTCAGAGAATATATGTTGGCCCCACTGGAGTACTGTAATAAGCCCACTCCTGACTTTGATTCCGAGATTATATATTGGCCCCACTGGAGTCCTGTAATAAGCCCACCTCGTGACTTTGATTCAGAGATTATATATATTGGCCCCACTGGAGTCCTGTAATAAGCCCACCTCGTGACTTTGATTCAGAGATTATATATTGGCCCCACTGGAGTCCTGTAATAAGCCCACCTCCTGACTTTGATTCAGAGATTATATATTGGCCCCACTGGAGTCCTGTAATAAGCCCACCTCGTGACTTTGATTCAGAGATTATATATTGGCCCCACTGGGGTACTGTAATAAGCCCACCTCGTGACTTTGATTCAGAGATTATATATTGGCCCCACTGGAGTCCTGTAATAAGCCCACCTCCTGACTTTGATTCCGAGATTATATATTGGCCCCACTGGGGTCCTGTAATAAGCCCACCTCCTGACTTTGATTCAGAGATTATATATTGGCCCCACTGGAGTCCTGTAATAAGCCCACCTCCTGACTTTGATTCAGAGATTATATATTGGCCCCACTGGAGTCCTGTAATAAGCCCACCTCCTGACTTTGATTCAGAGATTATATATATTGGCCCCACTGGAGTCCTGTAATATGCCCACCTCCTGACTTTGAGTCTGAGATTATATATTGTCCTCCTCTGGTGTCCTATATGATAAGCCACCCTCTTCACTTTGAGGTGGAAGTTGTATGATTTCCCAAAGGATAAATATTGCAGAATAAATCTAGTAATGAATGATGAAAATGACTTACTTGTTGAAAATTCTTATTAACAGACATAACTTAAGTTTGGTTTTCTTAACAGAGATACATCCTTACCCTAACCCCTCTGGCTTAATATTACTGGGTTTGATATAATACTTTGCTGTCTTGTTCTGTGCTCTCTCATTATATTCTTCTTTACCTCAAGATGTTTTCTGATTATTCAGGTAACTCTTAAATTTTTGGGAAAATTGTCAGACTTTTAATATTTTCTAGTTACTATTTTATCACAGAACTGACACAGCAAATTATTTTTTTTGTATAAGATTTAAGTGACAAGACAATTATGTGACATCATTATTTATGTTACAATTGATGCCATGGGTGCATGTGAATTAAACGGTAGCACAAGTTAACTTTATGTACATTTATATCATAAGTTACAGTTACTGTTTATATTTGATGGTGTAGCTAGAGTCAATTTACAATGTTTTTCCCTCTAGAAGCTGGTGAGTATCCTGTTGATCAGTGTGTGGGAGGCCCACCACATCAGGGATTTCCTATGCAACCTTCTTATTTATGAACTGTAAGAATTTGGGGACTCATATCATATACAAAACAAAGTAAAACTTTATTAATATCTCTAGTCCTTTGTCAATTTAAGGAGTCATTATGTAGGTTTTTAAGGGTCAGGGAAAACCCTGCACATGCAATAAAACACAACTGTTGTGAAGCATCCTGCCCAACCACAGCATGCAGCACAGGGTGAATCATATGATCCCTGTTTACCTGAGAAACACAGACCATTCAGGGTTGAACTCCAACCACACACTTTCATAGATCTTAACCCAAGCTTGAAATATACATGTACAGTGCTCAACTGACAAAACATTGGGTGGGAATAACAGCTGATGACAATTAAAGCTTTTTCTGTTAATCATATCGACCTGACAAGTGATATTAACCTGAGACTAATTGGTGTTAGTCAATATCACTTTTGGGGATTACATACAGGAACTCCCATGACACAACTCCATAATCCGTATCAATATTGATGATAGCAAACATGAGAAGATAATCAATGTAATTAACATCTGGGATAGACAGCTGTCAAGTCCAAGCCTGTGCAAGTCTGCTAAGGCTTGACCAGTGGTCTGATAACTGACCAGAAGTGGTCATAGACTTGTTTATTTTGACTCTCGAAATCAAAGTAGGATAGTAACAGTGAATTTTATCCACCAGCGGGACAAATGTTTTGATTCAGAATGAATGAATTTGTACAATTAGAAAAATGAATTAACATATACAACTCTTGAAACCTCTGAAGTATTTGAAGCCTTTGGTGATCTGATTTAGATTACTGCAAAAATGTGTACTGTTGGAAACAAGGGTGAAGACATTTTCTTCTATATTTGAAGTAAACTGAAGACTTTTCAGTGATTCAAGTATGTTGAAGAGTCTAGAAGTATCTTGAATTTAAAGATTTTCAATATTGTTAATTTTTTTTTGTCTCTATTTCCAGCCGTGAGCGGGGAGTGTGTTAAAAGCGTGGAGAGAGAGGGGATGTCCTTGCTCGGTGTGATAATGTACTCCCTCGCCAATTCTGTATGGCTCCTCCTATACTGGCTATACCAGCACCCTTTTAAGACACCACAATCACCACAGAATGGGCACAGCAGTGTCCGTCTTCGTCGCCGCCGCATGCGGAATCGTCAGGGATCTCTCCTGGAAGCACTCGGAATCATCTACACTGATAAACCCTTTTACTCGTTTAACGACCATTTTCACAGTTTTCAAGAAGTCAGCGATTCGTGTAAAAAAGCAGGTCTAGAAAAGTGTGGTTTGATTATTGGCATCGATTACACAGCATCTAACGAGTGGCAAGGACGTAAATCATTCGGTGGACAATGTTTACATAAGATCATACCGGGACGAATTTATAATCCCTATCAGAAGGTCATTTCTATCATAGGTCAAACGTTGGAGCCATTTGATGACGATAATTTCATCCCTGCTTATGGCTTCGGTGATAGTGTGACATTGGGTGATAAGGTATTTCCCCTGTTCAGTGATGGGATACTGTGTCGAGGATTTAAAGAGGTGCTAGAATGTTACAGTAACATGGCGTCAAAATTAATCCTGAGTGGTCCAACAAACTTTGCTCCATTGATTCATCAGGCAATCGATATAGTGAAAAAGACAGGAACGTATCATATACTTATCGTGATAGCAGACGGTCAAGTGAATGAGGAACAGCCGACTATTGATGCAATTATCCAAGCATCCCAATATCCACTTAGCATCGTGGTTGTAGGGGTAGGGGACGGGCCATGGGACCTCATGGAAGAATTTGACAACCATCTTCCATCCCGTACATTTGATAACTTTCAGTTTGTGAACTATCATGAAGCCACATCCAAATCGAAACATCCTGATGCAAACTTAGCGCTCCATGTAATGATGGAAATTCCATTACAGTATAAGACAATCAAAGCCATGGGCTACCTCAGTGAAGGAAAGTCATCGTCGCCAGTCAACAGCGGGGAAAATTCAAAGGACATTGTTAGGAAGAGACCCAAAAGTGCCATCTCAGAAAAAAATCTGGGTTACAGTACAGATAAATTGCAGGGTTCCAATGGGAGCAAATTGTTGGATGCAAATTGGAATAAGTCACAAGGTTTAGACAGAGAAAGACCCTGGAGTATGGTTTGTAGTAAATCTCAGCTTGAAGTCAGTGAAAACTCTCTGAGTGTTTGTCAACAAACCGATGTATGACGTCAGACATGACTTTAAAGATCATGACAACGAATTCACTGGGATGATACAGTACTTCATAGAAATGGAGGAGAGATATTATGTTTCCTAAAGTATAAATAAATATCTTTACATCAGACACAAAGCTCTGTGTGATAGAGTAGAGATATAGGAGGGAAAAAAGGAGATATAGAGAGAAATAGAGAAGAGATGATATAGGTGAGATAAAGATAATGATAAATAAAGGAGAGGTGAAAAGATATAGGTGAGATAAAGGAGTAATGAAAAGATAAATAAAGGAGAGGTGAAGGGGAGATATAGGTGAGATAAAGGAAAGATAATGAAAAGATAAATAAAGGAGAGGTGAAGGGGAGATATAGGTGAGATAAAGGAAAGGTAATGAAAAGATAAATAAAGGAGAGGTGAAGGGGAGATATAGGTGAGATAAAGGAAAGATAATGAAAAGATAAATAAAGGAGAGGTTAAGGGTAGATATAGGTGAGATAAAGGAAAGATAATGAAAAGATAAATAAAGGAGAGGTGAAGGGGAGATATAGGTGAGATAAAGGAAAGGTAATGAAAAGATAAATAAGATAAATGATAAGAGGTGAAGGGGAGATATAGGTGAGATAAAGAGGATAATGAAAAGATAAATAAAGGAGAGGTGAAGGGGAGATATAGGTGAGATAAAGGAAAGATAATGAAAAGATAAATAAAGGAGAGGTGAAGGGGAGATATAGGTGAGATAAAGGAAAGATAATGAAAAGAAAAGATAAATAAAAGGAGAGGTGAAGGGGAGATATAGATGAGATAAAGGAAAGATAATGAAAAGATAAATAAAGGAGAGGTGAAGAGATATAGTTGAGATAAAGGAAAGGTAATGAAAAGATAAATAAAGGAGAGGTGAAGAGGAGAATAGGTGAGATAAAGGAAAAATAAATAAAGTAGAGGTGAAGGTGAGATATAGGTGAGATAAAGGAAAGATAATGAAAAGATAAATAAAGGAGAGGTGAAGGGGAGATATAGGTGAGATAAAGGAAAGGTAATGAAAAGATAAATAAAGGAGAGGTGAAGGGGAGATATAGGTGAGATAAAGGAAAGATAATGAAAAGATAGATAAAGGAGAGGTGAAGGGGAGATATAGGTGAGATATAGAAGAGATAAAGGAGAGATTGTGTTATTAATTGACAGAGAAACTTGCCACAAATTTTCAAATCAGTGCTGCAGAATGTAGTATAGTCAGCTGTTAAAGTTACTTTAGATTTTGTTTATTTCATGGAAATTATTTTGACACAGATTCGTATCATGTGTTGATAAAGACTTCCTTGTAATGGAGTGGAATGTAAAATATCACTTTATCCTATGTTTGATTGAAAATGAAATCAGTGCATATATAAAAAAGTATGAAAATAGAAGAAATCTACTGTAAGGAAAAGAAACTGAAGAACCTTACTCGCCATATTTTATTAAAGTTTGTTTTGTTGTGTTAAAGGGTATCACATATATAATAAGTTATAGCTAGATTTGTCATTTACAAACACTATCCATTTTCAATGTGTTTTCATTTTGTGATAATAAGGTTGATTATTTTGTGAAAAATAAGATTTTTTCCCAAACATTTCTCATTTTCATTCCTATGGTCATCATTTTTTAGCTTTTGGCTCACGATACAAGGGCTCTGAATCTGAACTTCTTTATGTTTCTTTGAAACATAATTTTGAAGTGTTACTGCCAATGTTCAGTTCGATGACAAGGAGTTTTTTTTTTCAATTTTAGCAGTTATGCTGCAAAGGGCATTACTGTTTGGTCAATTATGATATCTGTAGCAAAATGTAAATTAATTTTTATTTCTACTGATGTTAAAACTATTTTTATTATTTAAAATGATCTCGTTATTTTGTAAAAATAAAAAAGGCAGATTTATTTCTTCTTCTGTAACAAAATATGTTCACATGTAACTGACATTTAATTATCAGTCATATTCATTGATTTTCCTAGGTAAAAAATGAACAGATTTTAGATGTGTCATTTATCTGAAGGAATTTTTAATTTAAATCAATGTCACAATCATAAAATGGTTGTCAATCGTTTGATTTGGAAACAATTAATTAATGTTTTACAATTTGTAATGAAAACTACAAATTTAAAAGATAATGTTTTAAGCGAACTTGATATGAACAGAAATTAAGCAACTTGCCATTAAATGAAATGTGACATTAAACAATAATTATTACTGTCTGCACAGTCATACTTTGAAATAAATAATGTACAAGTTTTTATGTCTGTAATGATATGTTTCAGTTCTCACATGATGCACATTATGACTCACATTCTTCACTGTGATAATTTGCGATACAATACAGCTACAACTACAAGACAATAAGTTATTACAACAAAATGTCAATAAGGAGTGGATTTAAGATATTTATCTACTATTAAAATCAACAATTTAAGAAAAAGTAGAAAGATTATAATATAACCCATTTGCTTTAATGAATTGAAGATTAAAATGTATGAAATCTTTTTTTACAACATGCATGCATTATTTGCTAGATGTATTGTAGAGACAGATTTATTTGAAATGAATCTGATATGTGTTTTGACGAATCGTTTCATGCATACAGGCTGTATATTGATATACATGTAAATCTGTCTTATCAGTCTTCCATATTTGTTTTAAGAAACTGCTGTATGACATTGCAATATCACCTTAAATTTTACAGACCTGGGAAATGATATTTCCATGATATTGATTTAATCATTTGTATAAATGTAGCGTACAGTTCTTCTTTATCTCTGATACAACTATTGTCGGAAATGATGAACAATATTTCTTCAATGATTTTTTTATTCGTATTTTTTAAAAAAAATCTTTCTTATACTGGAAGATGTGAATGTGAACTGCTTTCTACACTGATGTTAGCATCCCTTCAGCTCAAAACTTTCGTTATGCAGAAAAATTCCTCTCATTCATCACACAGTGATTCTTGATTGACGGGGAGATTTTTAAATATTATTTTGTTCTGCTTTTAAAATTACATATAGTTAGTTATATTTTAAATAAATCTGCTAATTCAAGTAAGACATCTTTTATTAGCTAATTTTTATTTTGCAGAATATATTTGTTAACTTAAATGTTCCTCTGATTTTTTAAATAGGTAAGTTATATTTATGTGTTTTTGTTTGTTATTTTTTATGCAAATTCCAGATATAAATGTACACACACAGGCTACATAGTTATCTTCATATGATTCCCATTATATCTTTGTTTTCATGAGTTGTCTCTCAAAGTTGATTCTGTAAGGAGACTGGATTATCACTATCCTGTTCTTACTTTTAAATCTGCAGAATTCCTTTACTTATAAATTGCTCAAAATCAATTCATTGAGATATGAAAACTCAAGTTGTTTTGCCACAATTTTCTTTTTAAACCAATGTGAATTATGACTGTATGCTTGAGGAAAAATTGCCAATAAACAAATCACAAAAGCTGTCCTTATCAGAATAGACATGATTAATAACTGATGTCTTCTCGACCAAATATTTTGGTCTAAGGGGAGATAATCATATTGTGTGTGCTGGAAATGCATGTCGTTTGTGATATAAGGGGAGATAATCTGTCATTTTTATATTATTATCATGGTCATTTTTATTATCTTTTTCTTGGGAAATGAAAAAATACTGAAAGCAATAAAAATGTTTGTAAAACTTAAATATGTTCACAAAGATATTTGAATGTGATATAACATTTTTATCTTTCTCTATTGATTTTGATGAATTTTTACTTTTTAAGAAAAAACATAAACTTACATTGAATTTGTGAATGATTGACTTTAAAAGAATTTTTCATGTTGAATTATTTCAAAGTTATATTTCTGGACTTGATTGGTTGTGTTTTGTTAATTTGATGCAAAATCAGTTTAGAAAGGAAAATAATAATTTATTGTATTTTTCTCATTCATTTGCAAAAAAAACCAAAACAAAACGAAACATTGAAATGAATTCCATCAAGCATTTAAAAAAAAGGGGGTGGCTTAGCATGAAAATATTGGAAATTATATGAAGATTAACAAGTGCTAGAATATACAGTTTAAAGGGAAAAAAACCCTCAACATTTTGTTATATAACATACTGTAACGTAATATTATCTATACCTTTAATAGATATATGAACTTTACAGTTTGTTTGTGCTTGCATACCATACCATTCCTATTTGAACTCCATCCTTATATCCATTCCATCTGAATGTTTATAATTTCTTCTCATGGAATGTTGAAAACTTTCAAATTTATCTTCCACTTGTTTTATAATCCAGCTTTTTTGTTTACATTTTTGTTTGATAATCAAATGTAAGTCGTTATTGTTTACTTGTGTGTTTAATGGTCCTGCTTGATTTCATTCCTCTTCTGTAAAAATAAAAACATTTTCCGTTATTAATCATTGTGACTTTAAGACAATGTTTTTGTTGATTAAAAAAATATGTATATATGTATATGATCAATGAAGTAATAACAACAGTACAGACAAGTAAATTGTCAAATTTTTGAGGCAATCTGCCCCCTTATCAAGACACAAATTTTATGTAAATAACATCACATACATAGAACATAAAACAGGTATAAACCATCTTCCATACAACAACTTAGGTTTTTTGTCCCTTATGAAGGGCCTTTGGCATTCATCAGCCGGAGGGATTATTGAGACACCTAAATTTACACAACTGCTCTCGATTTAACTTTATATTTGTTTTATGTTTTATTCTTTTCATTCTGCTATATATTTTTCAAATTTAGTGTGAGATATACTTATAAATACTTAATACTCTTTGCATTGTAAAAAAGTAGTTTTTAGGTCTGAAGTGGTTATCGAATATTACCATTGATTGGTACATGACACAACTGATATACATCACTAAAACTGTACTGCAATGGATTGCAGGAAAAGGAACTTTTTGTTTCAACTGTCTAATGACTGGTGTATTTGTGTTTTTATAGTGAAAAAAATACTATTTATTTCATTAG